ATATATAGAGTAGGATGCTGCGATTTCTATTTTATTATCCTTATAATGTCTCTCCTTTTTCTTCTCTTTCTCTTTCTTTCTGGACGATTAGAAATTATTATTAACATTATTAATAATACCGCAATATTTTATTGTATGGAATCATAGTATAGATAAATCATAGAAGTATGTGTTAGATTTCGACATAATGTGGGGTGTCTCAAGAAGTGCCTCTCAGTTACGAATATTTCAAATTAAAGAAGAAAGATTATTTAACATATGTAAGACTCCACTTTAAAACATGTTGGAAATAAGGCAAGACAAGAAGTGATCTATTTTAGAAATGTTACTATTATAAAATAAATAAATATCAACGAAATAAATAAAAGCTAGAATTTAGCTTACTACAATTTTCTAACGATTAAAGTTTTCGATTTTTGTAATTGATTTTATTTTGATCTTGTTAATAATGTTAATGAGCATCTTATCGGCTGCTTGCAATTAAAAGGCATGAATTAAAAGATATTTGTCATTAGCAAATCATCTTATCGAATACAATGAAAAACAAATCATATTCCTTTTAGTGCTAACAAGTATCTTTGTCACTACTTTAAAGACAACTTAATTTTAATCAGGAATAAAAATTATTTTAATAAGGTGAAAAAAGGAAATTTGTAATTAAATTCCTGAAAAATTAAATCCCTAAAACTATGAAATAAATTGTTAGCAGAAATCATTGCTTGTAATTTTTAATTTAAAAGCATTCGATTGAATGATTTGATAATTTCGTAATGATAGGAAGAATTAATTAGAACAAATAGAATAATAATAGTGGAAGGAGAACTTTTCCTGGAGTTGCGGTATTTCAAGCGGCACCCTGCACATAAGTCTCGCGTTTTATTATCATATACAGTGTACGATAATATTAGACAAAAACTATCAGAAGCGATATTAATTATGATGTGTGATTAATAACTAATTTACAATTAGTTGAATTGATGTGTCAATTTCTGCGCTCTAATTCACGTCTTTTCCGAATACGTCCAAGTTAAGACTTATCTATTTTTTCATTGCAGCCATATTGAATTATTATCCACACAATACAGTTTTGCAAAGGACATCTTAAAAAAAGTCCAGAGAACGTGCTACGACTTAAATATTCTCAGGAGTTGGCTCGGAAAATTGTGTAATATTAAAAATAAAAAATCAGTTTTTGTAAGTAAATTTTTTTCACAGTACATTAAAAGAGATTGATTTTTTTGTATAAATCAATTGTTTAAGTACAAATATATCAAAAAGTTTCCTTCTTCTTATGCTGCAGATCAGTATAATTATATAATTGTTCCATACATACATTTTTTTGCCGAAAAGAATCATATATACAATAGTTATTCAAGATTTATATTTATTTATTAAATTAATTCATAAATTGAAAAATAAGCTTTTTATGCATTAACTAATTATAATTCTTATTTTTTTAATTATTAATATAAAAATGATTATAAAGATTAATTAATACATTAGTAATCCACGCTTAATTTTCCATTCAAACCATTAGATATTTTGGCTAAAAAGAAAATTATAAAATAATTTCTGATATTATATAGGCGGATACATAATTATAATACAGTATTGGTATATTAGATCTTTGTAATTAATAATTTAAAATAATTTTTTATACTTTTTAATCATTATAAAATATATTTTAGTTAACTAACATAATAACATAAACAGAAATACTTAGGGTCCATTAATGATCCATGCGGCGTAGTTAAATCATTTAAAAAATTGACGTCGTACAGAATATATTAATAACATATGTACTAAGAAAATAGAAAGATGTCGGAACAAATGAACATATCGACAAATTAATATATTTTATTAATCTACATTATCTACAATATTATCGGATATGTGTGATGCGAAAAAATTAATTTTAGCGACGTGTATGTGTGTAAGAAAAATATGCAAAAAAAAATTGTCACGTGTTATAATTCGGCTGTAATGGAAAAATAGGAATTATTTATTTTAAATACATTCACAATATGTTAATAATGTGAATTGAAGATTCTGAACTGAAATATGAAAAGCGACAGACAGCAGAACTAATGCGATTATATACATACATCGATCGTGATTAAATGAGTAGAGTGAATATGTGCCTTGAAGTAAAACTAAAAATATAGTTTTCTTTTTCTTCTACCTAATTATTTATCCCCACGATATATAAGAACTCACTGCAACGTGTGGTTATCTCCATAATTTGTATGCATATAATTTAATATGTAATTCTCTACGAGACATAAGAAATAAATATCGAGGAACATCATATTTTATTTCATATTCTTCTTATTTTCCTCGTCTTAAAAAAATAAACGTAAAAAATATAATTATTGAAATATTTCCTAGGCAAAATATTTCAGTAAATCTTGCATTATATTCAGACATCTTTTATATAACTTCTAGATATCTTCTAAACATATCTTAAAGATACCTTTAAAAAAAGATATCGTTTAGATATTCATAAGACCTCGATGTTTTCTGGGTTAACTGAAGAAGTAAAGACTTGATAATTTCTATATACATTTTATTTATAAAGATTAATTATATAAATGTGTTGTGTTTTTTAAATCTTTACATTTTTTTTAAACAAGGCATCTGTTTTTTCTGACTGAACTAATGTAAACTTTTGGAACTTAAAATGAGGTAGGTATATATTTAATATTTGATAAAAGCGAAAAAAAGAATTCTAATGCAATCTAGTGTAGAAATAAAAAAACAAACCTATAGATATTTTTTTACACAGGCTGCGTTCGGTTATTTACTGTAAGTACCAAAATCTATATAGTATATGTAATATGAACTATAGATTTTCATACTTGCAGCGAATAAGAACGCACTCCTAGATTATAGATCTGTTTTCTGTGACTGAATTAGTGTATATTTTTGGAACTTAAAGTGAGATATTTGTCAAAAGTGAGAAAGATAATTCTAGTGCAAAAAACAGATTATATGTTTATATTTCTACCGATGGTTTGAATCAGGTCAAAGTCAAGTTAGAGCAGAGAGAAATCTGAGAGTGGACGAGTAATCGAAATTGATTATTCATCCTTGTCTAACCCACTTAATAATATGAAAGACAATCACAAAAGCGTGTATATTACCCTACGAGGTTTGTTAGATGAAAAAGGCCGGGATGCTTGATCTCAGGTTTCTCTTTTAGAGTCGGGTTAAAGTTAAGTTGGCTTGCCTGTTTCTACCAATCAGAGTTACGCTAAGGTTGCGACAGAGTTACACTATGATACAAGAATATAAGGTATTCCATTGCCAAGGATGCGCAATCGTTTTGAATATGGCAGCTACTCTTTGGCCAATCAAAACGTTGTCCGAAATTGTAAAAAGGAAATCTGATAACTATCTTAAAATTTTATTGGGTAGGATTCTTAATGTTTCCACCGTAAGAGCACTTAACTGAACCAGACTTCGACTTGACTTTGACCCTCGATGGAAACATAGTTATATTTTTCTTTTAGAAATAATTTGTAAAAATGTATCGGTTTATAAAGATTTATACTCTTTTAATTAATTGTAGATTTTCCAATTAATTCTTGTTCCTTGCGCAATTCTTGTTCACGTTGTTGTTCCCTATTCATTGATTCTTTTTTCTTAATCTGTTGAAGACGCAACACGCGTTTCTGCAATAAATCGTTTTACATAGTTGAAAATACTTATATTATCTATATACACACATCCTAGCAAAATTAATTTTATAATTCACCTTTAGTTTAGACGTTCTTTCATGAATATTAATCATTTCTTTTCTTATCACTGATAATTTTCCTTGATAAATTTTAACGGCTGAAAACTATAACATTTTTAAATGTAATTTTTTTGTCATGAGATGTCAATATTCCAAAAATATTACAAGATCTTTAATCCGAAATTCCAAAAATCGAAATTCCTAAAAATCAAATATTAAAAAAACATATAGATTATTTTTGTTTATTGTGTAAATAAAAATAAAATTTTTTTGTTTCAAAATCCAATTTTTATTTTTATCTTTATATAACTTCACCATGTACTCCAAATTTAAAAATAATCAAAATTTGAAACATTTTCAGTTACAATCGGATTAAAGATATTCAACTTATATCATGAGAGAAGGAAAAAGTCTTACCATATCATTTAAATCTATATCTTCAAATGTCTCATGTATCCTTTTATTCTCAAGCTGCATTCGTGTAAGTAGAGATTCTTGTTTATTACTGTAAGAAAAATAATATAACATAAATAATAATCAATGTGAAATCTTTATTGTTTGCATTACTGATGTATTAGGTGTACAAAAAAGTTCTGAGCTTTAGATTTGATACAACCGAAATAACAATTTAAATTTTATA